GCTCTCCCTATTCAAGGAGTTCCACAAGGAAATGAAGGTAACCATCCAGTATGGAAATGAAACAGCATCCGAGTTTAGTATTGATACTGGTATGAAGCAAGGCTGCATCTTCGCACCCACCAGCTTCGGCATCGCCTTCTCTATTCTTCTCAAGTACACCTTTGGAAATGACCGATCTGGCAGACCAATTGAATGGAGGATGGACGGCAGCTTGTTCAACACCAGACAATTTCAGAGCAGAAGGCATATTATCAAGCTTACTATTCAGGATCTGCTTTTTGCAGATGACGCCGCATTCATCTCTCATTCACCTGATGAACTGCAGGTCATGAAGAACAAGTTCTCTGATGCATGCACCAAGTTTGGCACGGAAATCAGTATCAAGAAAACAGTTGTCATGTCACAACGAACCAACATTCCACCTAAAATCTATGTCAATAATGATGTTCTGGATAACATGGATCACTTCTGCTATCTCAGCTCAGTTCTCACCAGCTCACTTAACCTCGATAGGGAACTTGATGCTAGAATTGGGAAAGCTTCTGTCACTTTTGGCAAACTTACCTCAGGTGTTTGGAACAACAAGTTGCTAACCCTGAACACAAAGGTGTCTGTTTATCAGGCTTGTGTGATCCGTACCCCCCTCTACGGCTGTGAAAGCTGGGTCACGTACTCCAAGCAGGAGCGGAGATTGAACAGCTTCCACCTCTGCTGTCTCAGAAAAAATCCTTGGAGTTCCTTGGGACCAACGGATCACTAACAGTGAGATCCTTGAGAGCACTGGCCGGCAGACTACACTGGCCGCTCGCAGGCTTCGCTGGCTGGGACATGTGGAGTGCGTGCCTCAAGATCATCTGCCAAAGGCTGTGCTCTGTGGTCAACTCAAGAACCACCCGCATCACAGAGGAAGGCCAAAGCTCTGGTACAGCGGCAAGGTCAAGCAAGGTCTCAAGAAATTCAGAATTCCCACTGGCAACTGAGAGAACCCTTACCACAACCGCTCAGTCTGGAGACGCCGGGTCAAGGCTGATGCGTTTGCCGCAGAGAGCTATCAGAGAGCCCAGGCTGAGGCCCGCAGGCGAGCCAGGAAGCAGAGTGCTCCAACCTCCTTCTGGTGAGTGGACCTGTAGCCACTGTGGGACGTCTGCCGCTCATGCATCGGGCTCTTTTCCCATACCATTGCTAAGCACCACTGACAGGCTGACTCTGCTGCATCTCCTTTCATCTGTCAAGATGTTGGACAGTCACATGACTTTTCGGGATTCCCTCCCTCCCCCCCGGCACTGGTGCATTCATAGGAAGCAGGGTTGGCTGGTGTTTTCTTTGGGGGGCAGTGGGAGGATAGCTGTTTGTCTTTGGGGGCACTGCATCCTAGCAGCTGTATGATCCTACCCACTGCAGCCTTCTGGCGTTTGCAGAGAATCTCATGCACTGTGAAGGCCAGCCTTGGCTAGCCCAGTGCTTGTTTGCATCAGATGATGTTGGTGTGGTTCCAGGAGGGGGGCATGGGGTGTGAGTGTAAAGCAGACTCAGGAGACAATTGCCCAGAGCCCCTAGGGCATTGTCCCAGAAATACCATCTTGAGGGCTGTGTGTTGGAATGCCCAGAGCTTTTCAAAGGGTCATTTCCTTTGTCTTTAATATATTAATCTCCTAGGTTTATATAGTGCCTTCCATCCAGGAGGATCCCAAAGTGCTTTTGGGGCTGTACATACACTTAGATGCAGCCATCTCCTGGATGGTCAGCTTAGGACAGGAAGTGAAGGAGAATCTAGTATCTAATTGAAACTTGGGAATGAGTTCCAGGGAAGCAGAATGTAGTTCCAGGGAAGCAGGACTGGACCATGGCCAGGACATTGGGGCTCTCACTCTTATTATGGGAAAGGTTTCATGAAAATGAGCGTTAATGTCTCAGAGTGGTCACATCCTCAGATTTTATGTTTCTCCAAAAGCTGGCACCCGTTGCTGTCATGCTGGGGCAAGGTTCAACACAGCCTGGCAGATAAGAGCGCCCCCTACTGAACCACCAGCCTCCATTGAATGGTGGTCTCCCATCCAAGTACTAAACTCGTTAGCATCGACTTAGAACGTGAGATGTGACGATATCAAGGTTTCAGGCCTTCCTCTCAATTTTTTCTCATTTTCTTGATTTTACTTACCCCTCTTCCCACTTCTCTGAAATAATTTTATCTCCTCTGAAAATCCACAGAATCTGCGCCCTCCCTGGCCTCGGCCTTTCCCTGATCTCTGCAGGAATGGGGGGGGGGGGGGTCTGTGGGTTAGGGCTCCTGCGCCTAGCTGAGATCTGCAGCCTGCCATGGCTTTGGAAGTTCAGCTTAATGTCCCTTCTCTTTTTCTGATGCATTATTATGCATTTTTAGTCAGTCAATCAGTCATGGAGAACATGTCTTTGTTCAGAGGGCAGATGGGGAGAGAAGTCTCTTAGCCACTGGTCTCGGCTGTGGCTGACCCGGCTGGCATGGGCACCACCTGGTATCTCTGTGTTGGATGTTTGCGGTAGCTGTAACACAAGCCTTGCCTGGCTTGTGCCAAGTTCTTCTATGGTGCTTTGCATCACACTTCTTCCTTGGTGTGCTGAGAGAGGCGGGTGGGCTCTGCAGCTGGGACTGAGTGAGCCAGCGGTGTGCTAAGGCAGCGTGACTGGCCTGACCTTAAGCATGGAGCCATGCGGAAAAATAAAATGGCCTTCACCATCCTTCTCCCCTCTCCCTCTGGACAGGGTCTTCACCTCCCCTGCCGCTGAGTCCGGCCCCTGACCAGACAGCTTCATGGTCTGTGCCCTCTCTACACTTTCTCAGTGGGGTGTGAAGCCACCAAAAGGGGCAGAGAAATAATGTTGAGGGCACAGGTTGCCAGTAATTAAATGCTAAAATGCCTGTTCCCCAGCTGCCCCTGCCATGACTGACTAGATTGGAGAGTGGGGCAGCGTCTGCCTTGCCCTGCCAACTGTAACCCATGCCCGGCCAGCTCCCTGCCACTCTCACAGCCTCAGAAGTGGGTTCTGACTGGCCGTAGATGCACTGATGGGATTTGCTCTGCCCTGAGGCAGCTCTGTTGGGAAGAGTTATGATCATCTGGCATCTACTTGAGTAACAGCTTCAGCCCTCTTGAGGAGCTGTTGTGTGACTTGTGAACTACTGGGAGGAGCCCTGTCCTCAGTGCTGAGGTGAACATGCCAGCAGGGATGGAGATGAAACATGCAGCTAATTATCCTTTTAGCACTTTGGAATTCTCCCCTCGTTCGCAGGAGGAATTAGGAAGTCTGAGAGAGTGGCAGCTTCTGAGCCCATGATGGCTCCGCAGGCAGGGCTTTGAGGCACCCAATGGGCAGTGGCTGCCAGGAGCTTGGGGTCTCTGCCTTGCCACTTCCCTGTTTGGAGCCATGCTGATTCCTCCTCTCCTAAGGGGGAGGGGGGAAGTGCTGGCTTGGGGGAAAGGAGCATGCTGGGTGCTTGGCTTTCCCCCTGTAGTCTCCCCCAGCCCATGCACCAGGACGAAAAGGGCAGGAATTTTCCTTGTCTCTCAGAGGGGGTTCAGGGTGAGGGGCCTGCTGTTCCCTCCATAAGCTGATGTTCTCTGCTTGTCTCCTCAGAGTGCCTCTCAGAGGACTGTCGCTCAGTGCTCCAGGAACAGGCCACGGCGCTGGGACTCTGCATGTTCGCCCTGCTGGTGAGGCGCTGCACCAGCTTACTGAAGGAGTCTGTCCGAGGTAAGGGAGCTGTCTGCACAGTGCTGGGTAGTGCTGGTAGCCTACTTAACAACACTGTGCTGCACGTCCTCCCTGCCCTAGCCCAGCCCCGCTTCCCAGGCCTGGCTCACTTCCTGCTCCATCACACACCACTTGTCTCTTGAGGCCTCTGGGTTTTGTCCTAGTTTTCAGACCATGCCTCCCTCCTCCATTCCTGGGGTCTCTCTCCCTTTGACTCCAGGCAGTTCCAGGACTTCAGTGTGGGGCTGCCCGAGCTGGAGAGCCCGCGATGTATGTTGGGACTCCATGACCCTTAGTCTTTTCACCCATCCTGCTACATGACAGGCTTTCTGGTGCCTCCAGGCGACTCCTGGACGTCAGGATTCCTGGGTTCTGTTCCTGGCTCTGCCAGTGACTCGCTGTATGGGCTTGAGCAGGTCACGGCCACCCTGTAAAATGGGGTGATGCTGCATCCCGTCCTTCCCTTTGGCCAGTCGCTGTGTCTGGGGTGCATTAGTGGGGATGCAGCATTCTCTGTGCATCTCCGGAGTCAGGCACTCAGTGGCTGTCGCGTGCGCGTGCACACACGCCCAGGAGGCAGGGACCCAGCCAGCCTTCCTCAAGAGTGGGGGACTGCAGCGGGCCTGGCCAGCTTTGTTCTTTGTCTCTGCAGCTTGGCCCCAGGAATCCGAGCAGGATGAGGAGGATGATATCAAGGTCTCCGCCTTGCCCCAGGATCTGAAGGAGCTCCTCCCCAGCGTGAAAGTCTGGTCGGACTGGATGCTCGGCCACTCGGACACCTGGAACCCCCCTCCCACCTCCCTCGAGCTGCCCAAACAGTATGTGATCTCTTCCTGCTCTTCCAACACGTGCCCATCTCTGCAGGCTCCTTGCCGGTGCCCCTCGTTCCCTTTTTGCCCCTCACGGAGGTGGTGCGCTCTGTCCTCCCAGCACCACTGCCTGGGCAGAGGGTATCGCTCACTGCCCTGTGCTGTGCAGGGGATGTTTCCGTGGTGCTGACAGTGTCCTGTGCATGGAGAAGGGTGTTAGTGACAGAGGGATCTTCCCTAGCAGCGAGAGCTGGGGGCTGGAAGTGGGGTGTATGTGGCTCAGGGTGGTGGCAGGCATCCCAAGGGCACAGCATTAAACCTTGTGACTAGCTCCCCTTCGTTCCCTAGTGTGGCCGGATTTCTAGCTTACACATGGGATCTCTCTCTTCATTTCCTGGGGTGCATCTCTCTAGGCCCTTTGCCAGCCAGCCAGCTGTTTGTCTGGGAGAGTGGAGCCTGCTCCCAGCTCGCTGCTTGAATTCTCTTCACCTGTGAGAAGGGGCTGGGCAAACCGCATTCAGCCTGGGTCAAGCCTTGAGCAGCCTCACTGTGCTGGGAACCCCCTTCTCCTGCTTTGAAAGCAAGTTCCTCTGCCCCAGCCAGTCACAAAGGGTTAATTTGCTAAGCTGGCTGATTCCAGACCATTAGTCCATAATGTGGACTAGGCAATTTGCATAATTTTGGACAGAAAATCATGTGAAGGGGCCAAGTATGGAGTATGCGAAGCAGTGTCTGAGCATGCTCCGTAACTGCTTTCCCGCAGGATTTTCCATCTGCCTCCGGTACTCTGGATCCAGAGCCTGAAATCACGTCTTATTGTTAATCCAAAGGAGTCAGAACCCAGGGTGATGGGAAGGCGCATTAAGAGTAATCCAGCAAAGTGGCTTAACCATTAATGGGTCCCTGCTCCAATGCATCAGGTCCAGTCCCGCTCTCCTGTTTTATTGCCTTCACTCCAGTTCTTTTTCATTTGGCTGAGGAAATGGAAATCTCACACAGGAAGTGCTGGGCCTCATTTTGTGGAGATGGAGTCTGTTTTCTGTTTGTCGGCTGCTCGATGTGGGACCGTTGCCTGCTCATGTGAACTGTTGCCCATCTTTGGGCAGGAACTCAAACTCGGAGCTGTCATGTGAGCATGCTTGCACCAATCCGGAGCCCCCTTTGCGCTGCCTGTGCAGGGAGCTGCTGAGCCGTCGGCAACGGGCTTGCTTCGAGATGGAATTTCTGATTGGGTTCATGCAGCCAGCGCTCATCATGTTCCAGGGAGGAGCCACCTCCTCCCTTGTTCGGGGTGCGACTGAGATCTGCTTCAGCTGCCTCCGGCTGCCGGGAACCGGTCTGGCTCCCTGACGGGGTTAGGAGCAGGTGCAGGCTCCCCCTTTCCCATCAATATGGGAGAAGGTGAGGGTTACAACCCAGCCCTTATCAGAGACTGTGGCCCATGGTTCCATCAAGTGCCAAGGAGCAGCTGGAGATGCAGGTCCTGAGTGATAGGAGGTAGCTGGGCATGGGCCATAATGTACTTTGAGCACCTGCTCTGCTCAGAGCTCCAGAGTTGGGGAGTCAACGAGCTTCACCATTTGGTGAAGGCTCAATAGGCCCAGCCACTTCCCCTGCCTTGGTCTCTTCATGCAGTGCCTGGGCCTGCCCCTCCTCCCACTGTTCAAATCTTTCCCTACAGTGACTAGAGCCCGTTCTTCCCCATTGCCCACTGGCTGACGGGCCCTCTCAGATGTGGTGAGCTGTAGTTTACATGGCACTTCTCTGGTTTATTTTTGGGGTGCTCCAAGATGTTTTTAGCACAAGAGTTTTTTGCCTGTTTCCCACCACTCTTGTGTACCCCTGTGTGCGGGAGGCCATGACCGCACTGTAGCGGTCTGAGCAACTGAGAAATGGAGCCCCCTGCTGGGGATGTACCTCTCCAGCAAGAAGAGAAGAGGTGGCAGGAGAACCAGCTGAGCCCTGCCAGGTGACCCCCTCCCCTCACTTCCCCAGTCTCAGCATGTCTCCCAAGCAGGAGTAGTGACGACTGGCGTAGCATTCCTGCTTTGTACTGACGCACGCCTGCACTCTGGTTCGGCGGCTGTTGGCTAACCAGGGCAGCCATCAAGTCCAGGGGCCTTGACAGGAACTATTTGAAGATGTTCTAAAAGTAAATCATGGGCCGGAGCAAGTGAATGTCTTGGGCCAGGCCTGGGACCCACGGGTGGGTGACCTTGAAGAGGGAGAGAATGTGTAAATGCTAAGGGCAGAGCTTGACTCCTGGGGCTGGGTGATGAGGAGGTGCAATGTTCCCAACTCCATGCTCCCTACAGCTGTGAGTTCTCCCTCCATGGCATCCTCCCGGCCTCGTGCTCAGAGCCTGGGCTGGGATAGCTGGGAGCTGCCCTTCTAGCACTACTTCGCCATTCCCTTCAGTGCCGCCTCTGGGGGTTGGAGCAGAGCAAAGGGGCTGAGTAGAAATTGAAATGTGGGAGCTGTGGGGATCCAGCGAATCTCTGCATCTCTAGAAATCTCACCGGGTCTCCAAAAAGCCCAGGCCCAGCGCCAGCACAACGGCTCATCCCGGGGCTAGAGCTGGGGCCAGTGGTGACACGGCAGCTCATCCCGGGGCCAAGGCCAGGTCCGGCACTGGCCCGGCGGCTCGTCCTGGGGCCAAGGCCAGGTCCAGCACTGGCCCGGTGGCTCATCCCGGCGCCAAGGCCAGGTCCAGCACTGGCCCGGCGGCTCATCCCGGCGCCAAGGCCAGGTCCAGCACTGGCCCGGTGGCTCATCCTGAGGCCAAGGCCAGGCCCGGCACCGGCATGGCAGCTCGTCCCGGGGCCA